TCCTTTGGCAATACCTGTTCGTTTCCATCATAACAAATAGACATATAATTTCAATAGCTACATATAAATGTACTTTTAATTTTTTAAAGCAATTCTCTATTGTCATATTCCCCCAGATTTGTCCACCATTAATAAAAAGGCTGCAAAGGAGCCCTTACACATATGTAATTTGCACAACTCTGATTATTTTCTTCTTGCCAAGAATTATTTAATTTTTTTTCATTTAATTATTGTACATCCTTACACCGTACATGATTTTTCCCAGCATGAATATATTCCATATTAGTCTAGTCCAAGACATTACCATACACATCATCATCAACAGATTCCTTTCCATTTTCGTGTTTGTTAAATGTTCTTTCTTGTCCTGATTTCCCTCCTCCTGCTCCCTACCACTCACCCTCTCCTATAGTGTTTCTAGGAACAACTCTGATTGTTTTCTTGTAACAAGTTCTTAGATTTGGAATTTTGGATCAAAGAATTAAAGGAAACTTTGCAAAACATATTTATAATTTAGTTTCAAGGAGTTCATAGAAACTTTAATTTTCAACAGAAATTAGTTTGCTGGTTATTTATTTATTTATCTTTGGAGAGGTTTTTGCTATAGGTCGTGTGCGCTCACCAGAAAGACAGAGAAATAGAAAGCGACAAATCAGCCCCCAGAGGGATGACCACTCCGCAATCCCTTCTCCTCCTTTCTCCTCTCGGGATCTTGGGTACGCACGCACATGTGCCTAGAGTGAGTTTAAGCCACTGGATCCGGGACTCAAACCGTGGTCAACTACATGGGAGTCCAGCGACACAGCCATTACGCTAACTGCTGGTCCCTTATTTATTTATTTTTGAGAGAGATTTTCACTATAGGGCATGTGTGTTGGCCAGAAAGACAAAGAGAGACAGAGAGACAGAAAGTGAGAAATCACCCCCGCCAGGGGAATGGACACACCACAGTCCCTTCTCCATTATCCTCCCCGGATCTTGGGCACATACACACGTACATGGGCCCGATGTGATTTTGAAGTCACCAGGTCCAAGACTCAAACCATGGTCAGCCATGCAGTAGTCCAGTCATGTAACTGCTACGCCACCTGCTGGTCCTAAGGACTCAGTAGCTTTAAATACTTTCTCTCTCTCTCTTTCTCTCTCTTTTTGGAGAGGTTTTTTGTTTGTTTGTTTTTGTTTTGCTATAGGGTGCATGCACTCACCAGAGAGACAGAGAAATTGAGAGAAGGAAAGTGAGAAATCACCCCCGGGGGAATGGCTATACTGCAGTCCCTTCTCCATTCTCCTCTCGAGATTTTTGGGTATACATACACATGCATCCGGCGTGAGTGTTAAGCCCCCAGGTTCAGGACTCAAACCTCAGTCAACTTCGTGGGAGACCCGTGACGTAAACATTATGCCATCTCCTGGTCCCTACGGTTGTTCATTCTAATAATAATCTAAGGAATCCTTTCATATAATTTTTAAAAAAAGGATCTCAATGGGGCATTTTAAACAAAAGAACATCAAAAAATGTTATCAGAGGTAGATTGGCCATAGTTTGTAAAATGTCATTTTTAGCTGTTATGTACTATGGCTGAGATACTTAACTATAAGACTTGTTCTACAGAGAAATATTTCAGGCTGTGGCCTGGGATCATGCCACTAGTGCTAACTCAGCCTTTATTGCTTTATTTTTTGGGAGATCAAGAGGAAGAGGAGGAAGCTACTTTCCAGATGTTCTGAAGGCACATGTTTAATCAAAGACCGTAAAGCTTCCTTCTTGCCTACTCGCATTCTTTGTATTTGTTGATTCTGAGCTTGGAGCTTCTCTGGGCTACTCTTGGTGAGAACTAGGCTTATGAAAGGGATCTGTCTCTGTGGTTTCCTCTACTCCAATTTTCCCACCAAACTAATTTTGCTTGGTTTTTCTCTTCATCGAATTTCATGGAAGTTCAGGTCTGTTGATGGCATATTTTCCCATTTCATAATGTTTCATTCTTTAAAAACAACTTTCCTAGCATTTCAGTGGGACCTGGGAGGTGAGGAAAGGCAGATGTTGGTGATGAGTCTACATGAACTCAGCCTCACATTCTGTACTGGATTTGTCTGTTTCCTTTTTAAAAGAGAAAATAAAATAGCACTTTGCTACCTAACACTGATCTAATATATTTATAATTCATGTGGCATATCACTAATAAGCTTCATAAGGAAGGGCAGAATTTTTATCATAGTAATTACCTTTGTCATTTTCTATTATTTTCTCCCTTTAATGTTCTTAAAAGCCACATCATGATCCTTTTACCAGCCTCCCAGCTAATTGGGTTCCCAGGAGCATGTAGGAGCACCCCGTATGAGCTGGTCAACCTGGGATCTGAGCCCAGGTCTCCTCTGAGGCTCCATTTCAGGTAGTGGTGCCCTATTCCCTGCACTACCATGGCTAGGCCCCCAAAAGCATCTCTCTGTGAAGTCTAGTCTTCTCTTTTTCTCTCCTTTCCCCGTCTTCCCACTTACACTTATGTCCCTTTACTTTCTTAGGGTTCTTTCTTAGAATAAGTGATGTAAAATTATTGCTGACACTATGTTCTTTTTTAACACTAATAGCACACATGATGTAAGTGCTGAGGATGTTGAGATAATTAAAATTGTGATTTTTAAAATTGTTTTAAGACTCTTTTGGTTCCAAGTAACACACACCTATGTCATACTAGTTTAGGTTAAAAAGGGAATTTATTAGAAGGAAATTGCAATATCTTGCTGAACTCAGGGTAAAATCGCTTTCAGATGTCTTGAGACTCTGGAACCAGAAACTAGAAAGCCTATAGGGAGCCTGGTGCCCATACCTGTCTCAGACTTTCTAGCTCTCTTGTCTCTGCTTTTCTGGGCATCTGTATTGTCTTGTTTATTTCAGCAGACTCATTTTAACTCTTTGTCATGGACGTGGCCAAATATAGCTGCTCAACAAGGGCACCCTGACTTTCTAAGTGCATGTCATAACAGTTCAAGCAAATAGGGCGAAGGCACAGCCCCAGGTTCCAAGGAGGAAAAAAAAAACTATTTGGTTTAGCTTGGGCTGATTATCTCATTTAAGGCTGGTTTAATATGATATTGAAGGCAGGATTTTGTAGTGTAAACATGGTTGTCAGGGCCCAAGTTCCCAAAGAGGAGGTAAGTAGATAGAAGATTGGGCAGATATCTCAAAATATGTCTGCTGCAATATTCTTGTTTATGTCTATGTGTTATTTCTCATCAGGCAGATAGTTTAGCTTGAGGTTAAGAACATAGGCTTGGCGGGACCAGCAGTTAGCGTAATGGCTATGTCGCTGGACTCCCATGTAGTCGACTGCGGTTCGTGTCCCGGACCCGGTGGCTTAAAACTCACTCCGGGCGTGCGTGCCCAAGATCCCGAGAGGAGAATGGAGGAGAAGGGGTTGTGGCATGGCCATCCCCTCTGGGGGGTGATTTCTCGCTTTCTATGTCTCTGTCTCTCTCTGTCTGGCGAGCGCACGCGCCCTATGGCAAAAACCCCTCAAAAAAAAAAAAAAAAGAACATAGGCTTTGGCATCAGATGAACCTTTGTTTGAATTCCAGACCTACCACCTACTAGCTGCATGTCTGAGGCCAGTACTTGGCTTCTGCAAAGATCAGATTCTTTTTCTGTGTAATCGGGATCACAAATCCTGTCTCTTGGGATCGCTCAGACGATGAGATGAGATAATATATGGTGTATCGTATGCACAGTAACTGTGATTACTGCTCTCATACCACTTACGAAAGACTGCCTAAGTGAGAGAACATGCATCTTACCACCCTGAGTAGTGCAAGAAGATTTGAAGGCAAAATGCTGGATGCCACAGAACTGTAAAATCTAAAAGTGAGTTTCATGTTTACCACAGTTGGCCAAAGAAATGGACTTGGGCTGGCCTGCTGGAGTGGGGTCCCTGAGAGTCTGAACTTCTTTCTTTCTTTTTTTCTTTTTTTAAAAAAAAGATTTATTTATTTATTTATTTAATTTGTTGTTATTATTAATTATTATTTTTAATTTGTAGACAGAGGCAGAGAGAGAGAGAGAGAGAGAAAGGGAAAGTAAGAAAGCAAGCTGCCAGGTCTGGGACTTGAACTGCAGTCAGCCATGTGGAAATCCATGTTCCCAACCACCATGCCATCTGCCAGCTCCCAGTCTGAACTTATTTCTAGAACAGAATTTTTGTGTCTGTTGGCTTTGGAAGGAAACTAATCAGGTCAGTCCATGACCTGGTGGTTAAGGGGGCTGGATCCCACATGGCTGACCACACAGTTCGAGTGCTATTTGCAAAGCCTACCAGCAGCTTGTGCACATGTGTTCAAAATCCTGAAAGGCGGGAGAAATAGAGCAGAAGGGATCGTGGCATGACCACACCTATGGGGGGTGCTTTCTTCCTCTCTCCCTGGCAAGCATACATGTCCTCTGACAAATTTAAAAAAATTAAAAATAAAAAAGGAATAGTCAATGCTCTTACAGTCCTGAAGAGACACCACAAGGGCGATGGTCACTAGTACAATCAGGAGTTCTTTTTAGCCAGTGCCTATTCCAGTCGTTGCTGCCTTCGTCCTGCGTGGTAGCGGCTATTTTGATTGGCTAATTCCTTACCTAGTGAAATATTTTGAATAGAATCCCTGCAAGCCACATGCCATCGATTCAACAAACTTTAGGGTTTTTTTTTGTTGTTGTTGTTAAAGAGATGTACTGCTTAAAAAAAAACCCCAAGACCTCCTTTGCACTTTTTTTCATTTATAGGATAGCATTGTAGGCCCATCATTAAATGTACTATTAGTACAGAATATGTAAAGTGATAATGATTCACATTCTGTCTCATTAAAGGGCCCCAAATGTAAGCTGAAAGTTGACGTTTACATGAAGTAGTGTTAGCCAAACAAACTGTGTTCATGGCTTCTTCCTTAAATGTAGTGTTTGCTATTCTATATAGAACTATAGTAGAACATTATTTCCATGACTAACTGTGTAATTTTCTCTCAAGTTATGCAGACATTTTGATTGAGAGGGAAGTTTTAATGCAGAAGTACATTCATCTAGTTCAGATCGTAGAGACAGAAAAAATTGCAGCTAACCAACTCCGACATCAACTTGAAGATCAAGACACAGAAATCGAAAGGCTTAAATCAGAGGTATTTGCCAGCTGATAGATTCCTTCTCATTGTGTCATGTTTATTGTCTCCTCGTGATTACCTAAGGCCTATCTATCCAGGACAAAGGCTTAATCTCAGATTGAGTTCTATTGCCGTCAACGCCCAATGGCTGGGCCTCAGAGCTAGACGGGAAGGTAATGTCTACATCAGGGTTAGGTGATGTGCTCCGGAACATTTCACGACGGTGTGCTATTTTTCGGTTATTCATGCTCCTGATCTCCTTCATTAAATGAGAGATTCAAGAATTAATTATAATATTTTACTATTTTCAGATTGACCCTTGTAGTAGTGGTAAGTATGAGAGAGATTCAATTAAAGTCCAAAATAACAACTAAGGAAGAACCACCAGAACTGAATTCACAAACACTTTACTTAAACTTGATCTAAGGAGTCCCATGTTCTCCCCTCTAGAGTTTTGAGAATATTTGAGTTAAACTATGAAACGTTGCCAGGGTGCAGTTTCTCACGAGGTTGGAATTCCTGCCTCCCCTTCCCTCGGAGCGTGAACTTCTCAGACTCTGCACTCCAGGACAATGAGGCTGATGCTAGTGAGGGCCCCAGGAGTCCTGGAGTCCACAGCTATGTGGTGTGCCTGGGTCCTCCCTGTCGCCCAGGTCTCAGTCTGTGCAAAGAACACTGGGTATACCTTTCCTCCTTGTCCTGTTGTTCTCCTGGGAAGTGAGCAATAACTGAAGAATGAAGAATGTAGAGAATGAGATTTCTCCTTCTTCCTGCTCAGTGGTGCATTAGTGTATTCTTGGATTCAAAGAGGGAATAGAATGGAATGACGTGACTACAAATTGTATCCTTGTTGACGAAAACAGTTCAGACCCTTCAGATTTGGCAACTTTCTTGTCATTTTTGCTCTCATCAGGCATTTTCCTCATACCCTCCTCTGAGACATGCTGTGGATCTCGTGAGGGGTCTTCTCCTCCTGCTCCCCCATATGTCCCCTCCCGGGTACCGAGCACAGGAAGGAGCAGATTCCAACTGGGATGTGATAGCTTCTCCACTGATGATCAGTTGCAGACTGTGTTCACCATATCATTAGAGTCGTTAACTTCTCGCTGCAACCCTGATAGAGCGAAAACAACAACAGAAAACTTAACAAACCATTTAAAAAGACTATATCAGGCACTGTAATTTAAAACAAAATTATTGTGTTCTTTCTCTGACACAGTAAGCTAGAGCAGATGCTTGTCTGCTTAGTGAAAGAGGTTGGTATTTACTCCATGAGAGAAACTCATCCCCATGCGATGTTCCCCGTGTTTATTTATGTGTGCTTCTCCGTCTTCACTATGCTCTATTTTAGTCTGACTATAGATTGCAGCTAAAACCCGTCAGTAGCAGGTACATCTTCTATGGCTGCTTGACAGGAGCCATAATTTATTTCTTGCTCCTTTCAGTCTCCCACTCCCTTGCCAGAAAATGGCAGAGTGTATTTGGTGTTGGGACAAAATGTAAAGGCAGGTCAGAGGAGCAATTATGATTTCTTGGCTTTGTAAGCATTTCCTTGTTAGTAAATCTGTTTTGGCTCTTAGGCTTATCAGAGCTTGTGGTTGTGTGGTAGTGAGTGAATTTTATTGCTAGTTGTAGCTGAGAGGCCACGGGGCCTTGAATTGCTCCGTACAAGTCACAGCACTAAGCTGGGGATATAAAGAGGTCCCAGCTTGTTTTAATCCTTTTATCCTTTCCTAAGGAATCCTCTTGGCTGGCTTGGACCAACCCCTTTGCAGGTACCATCTTCCAGGAGCTCTGAGAGTCTGCTGTACCACGTGTACTGGGTGGCACAGCCGGTCATGGGAAACGAATGTTTAGCCATGTGTCATTATTTTGGGAGACCGTAGGCTATGATAGGCACCTGCCTTCAGACAAGGTGGTTGACATGCCCTGGAGCTCCACAGGAAGCCTTGACCTGGTCACTACTGGCAGTTAGGGCTGAGTTTGAGGATGTTTTTCTCCTAACCCAAACCCAGTTCCCACCTTCTGCAGTCACTCGTAATCACTTTTGTTAGAAACACCACGCTTCCCCCACCTCACCACCAGGGCAGGAGAGGGTGCATTGGAAGTACTTCCTGAGGGTCTCAGGGGGCCACCTTTGTAGGCAGGACTTCCTGTGTGTTATGCTGTATTCCAGTATTTCTCCAATCATGAAATGGACCAATTTTGCGTTCTAGATTATTGCTCTTAATAAAACCAAGGAAAGAATGCGACCTTACCAAAGCAACCAAGAAGACGAGGATCCAGACATCAAGAAGATTAAAAAGGTAGGACACTGGAGGTTCTGGCTTTGCAGAAGTATGGCAACCAGTTTGACCTACCACAGTTTGAAGCTGACTCCAGCAGCTTGAAAAACATGCCAGCTGCATGTGGCACAAATCTTGGCAGGATGGAGAAATGAAGGATACGAGACTATAGTGTGACCTTGCCCCATTTGGGAGATGCTTTCTCTCTCTCTGTCTCTCTCTGGTGAGCTCATGTATACTCTGACAATAAAATAAGTAAATAAGTAAAATGGCACCATTCCTTTTTTTTTTAAGAATTATTTTATTTAGCTTATTTATTTATTTCTAACTTGACCAGAGAGGGAGGGAGGGAGGGAGGGTTATTAAAAAAAAGAAAAAAAAAAGAGAGAGGAAGGGAGGGAGGGAGGGAGGGAGGGAGAAAGAGAGAGAGAGAGAGAGACAGAGAGAGAAAGAAAGTGAGAAAGCAAGCCATCAGGTCTGGGACTCAAACTGCTGTCGGCCATGTGGGAGTCCAGTGTGCTTAATAACCATACCACCTGCTGGCCTCAACACCATTCCTTTCTTAGGGTTAAAATTTTTTAATTTGAATCTGGTTTATGTTATTATATTGCAAGATTAATGCTGCTACTTTTCTTTCAATAATATGAGGTTGTATGTAAACAAAGATATGAATAAAACCCAATTTTCAGTTCCATTGCAGAAGCTGGTCTTTTAGTAAATATGTGAACCAGCTATTGTTCAG